CCCAGAGGCTTTGTTGTGTTGTATTGTCCTTTTCGTTTAGTTCCAGGAATACTCTTATTTCTTTCTTAATTTCCCTTTTGACCCATTCATCATTGAGGAGTGTGTTGTTTAATCTCGATGTGTTCATGTGTTGTTTAGGGCTTCTTCTGGTTTTTATTGTAAGATTTATTGTATTGGGGTCTGATAGAATGCATGGAATTATTTCAATCTTTTTGTATTTGTTGAGATTTGTTTTGTGCCCCAGTATATGGTCGATTTTGGAAAAGGTTCCGTGGGGTGGTGAGTAGAAAGTATGTCCTTCGGTGCTTGGGTGGAATACTCGGTAGATGTCTGTTAAGTCCATTTGATATATGGTATTGTTTAAATCAGATGTCTCTCTGTTAACTTTCTGTCCAGTTGACTTATCAAATGGAAACAGTGGGGTGGTGAAGTCCCCTACTATTAATGAGTTGGGATTAATCTGGGCCTTAAAGTCCTGTAGTATTGTTTTTATGAAATTGGGTGCACCAGAGTTTGGTCAATATATGTTCATGATTGCAAAGAGCTCTTCTTGATTTATTGTTCCTTTGATCAGAATGAAGTGGCCCTCTTTATCTCTTCTGATTAGTTTTAGTTTAAAGTCTATTTTGTCAGATATTAGAATTTCTTTGCCTGCTTTTGTCTTAGTACCATTTGCTTGGTATATTTTTTTCCATCCTTCCACTTTGAAATAGTGTCTGTCCTTGAAAGTGAGATGAGTTTCTTGCATACAACAAATAGATGGGTTTTGTTTCTTAATCCATTCACCTTGTCTATGTCTTTTGATTGGGGAGTCAAAATACTCAGTCTTTTGACTGAGTTTTGAATCCTGTCATTTTTATTTCTGTTTACATTCTTGATATAGCTGTACTTTTTCTCAGTTATAACTTCATTGAATTTCCTTCCACAACCCCTTGGATATAGTCATTCCTTTCTTCATCTCTTTGTATTACTTCTAGAACTCTCTGAAGGGGTAGTTTGTGGACATGAATTCCTTCAGCCTATTTAAGTTGTGGAAGATTTTTCTTTCCCCTCCGACTATAATAGACATTTTGGCAGGGTATAGTAATCTGGGTTGGCTTCTGTGGTCATTTCAAACTGGGAATACTTTGGTCCAGGCTCTTCTGGATTTCATAGTTTGGACTGAAAAGTCAGCCGTAATCCTAATGGGTTTTCTTTTATACGTAACTTCTTGTTTCTCTTTTTCAGCTTTCAATATTGTCTCTTTGTTTTGTTCGTTTAGTTTTAACTATGATGTGCTGTGGAGAGTTTCTTTTCTGGTCCTGTCTGTTTGGTGTTCTGTATGCTTCTTGTATTTATGTTGGCATATCTTTCCTTAATTTTTGGAAATTTTCTTCCATGATTCTGTTGAAGTTCTGGTCCATGCCATTATGTTGGGATTCTTCTCCTCCTGTATGTCTTTGATTCATAAGTTTGGTCTTTTTATGGTGTCACACAATTCCTGCATATTCCATTCTTGTGATTTCTTAAATTTTTCATAGTCTTTGCTTGAGTGGTCCCGTTCATCCACTTTATCTTCCAGTCTTGATACTCTGTTTTCCATTTCATTCATCCTATTGGTGAGGCTTTCTCCTGTCATTTCTAATTGGCTTACTGAGTGTTTCACTTTCTTTTCCATTTCAGCCTGAGTATTCTTCAATATATCTTACTCTTCTGAATTCATTCAGAAGTTTATCCCTATCTTCCTTCAGTTTTTTGATTTGTTTGTGTGTTTTTTATATTCACTGAATTCTTTTATCATGTTTATAATTGTTCTTTTGAGTTCCATGTCCTCCATTATCTCTAGCAGGTCTCATTGTACTCCTCTAGAGGACTATTGGTATTCGGCGGAGATATGTTATTTTGGTTTTTCATGTTACTATTTTTTCTCTGTGATTTTGACATGTGAATTTCTTTTGTAATTTCTGATTCTTGTGTGAGACTCAAGCCTTCCAGTTTAGGTCTACTTCTTTTTGAGAACTTTATGTGCCTTTGTGGTTTACTATTTGGGCATGAAAAGCTGGTTCGTATAAGCTTCCAGTTCTCTCTTTTGATTTTATACTGGAATGGCCAGATTGCTTTTGTCTTCAGGAGTTCCCTCAGAGGCTCAATTTAGATGAGGATCAGATGCTTTCAGGCTTGCTTTTATGGTCTGGATCCTTCCAGGAAAGATTTTGGCCTCAGGAATTTGGGGTTTCGACTGGCCTGGGAGCTGGGCCCAGAAAGATGCTGGTCTAGGGTAGCTGGTGGCCATGCCACCCAGAGATGCAAAGGAAGATGGTTTGGGAAGTGGTCCCAAGGTCTCCTGGGGACTGCACTAAGGAGCTGGGTTGGTACCGGAGAGAGGCCTGCCTCAGTCACTTTTATTACACAATTCAATTCCAGTTGCACATGGATGGCTTCACATGCATTGGGCTTGACCCTACTGCATCAATTACCAATTTAGAAAATTCCTCACAGTGAGGGCCCCAGGACAATGTAATGGAGAACATTCCTCAAGTGAGAGTCCCTCTTCCTGGATGTCACTGTTTTTCGGGCAAGTTGACAGAAACTAACCAGTACATAGAATACTATTCAAATGTGTGATTGCTGTTAATGTAGAGAATTTTTCAAAAGATAAATTCTTAGATCTACAAGGAAAAGCCCATTTCCAGAATGCAACATAAGAAGTGAGTTGAAAAAAAGACACACTGGAGAGAAAACACTATAGTTATTTCAAACTCAAAAAAATAAACCAAAATGAGAGAAGAAATTAAACATAGATCAGATCATAGTTGGTAGTTGGAGGGAGATGTGTTGGGAAGATCTAGTGGCAGTTGGATGACAGACAAGGAGTTAAAGAAGTAAAAAAGAAAAACTAGTATATGGAAATAAAAAGGAAGTTGGCTGACTATGATATTGGACAAATTTGTGGCTTAATACATCAAAAATGGAATATTTGCCTAAACAATCTTATGGAAAGTTTCATATGCCCTAACTAGCAGAGGAGCACTCTTTAGTCAAAAAAACATGGATGTGGAAGGATTGTATTGTCTTACTTCTACAAAAAATACTTTCATCTAAGGGGACAGCTCCTAAATTGTTAAAAATGAAAGTTTATAGATGTAGTGACTTGACAACTATCACATGTAGCCTCTCAAAATCTATCCAAACCAACTTCCTCCAGTGGATATGGAAGCAAAAAATGATATTTAAAATAATAAATACCTGAACATGGACAGTAGCAGAAGATTTACAACATCTAAGTGATTCTGAATAACTGTCTGTGGAAACAGGATGAATGAGTGAAAGTCATGGCGTGAGAGAGTGGCAGTGTCAAATAGACTTGCATTTATTGATGCTAATATTCTTGTTCTCTATAGTGTTTCTGCTGTGACGATAATTTTGCTAAGTATTGTTATATCACATAGACCACTGATTCTGTCAACATCTTTCTTCTAAATAGCATTTCCTTTTAAAATGTATTTTCTGTATTATTTTTATTTTATGTGTATGAGCATATTGCCTGCATGATTGTAAGTGCACCCATGTCCTACAATACCCATGGAGGCCAGAAGAGGACATCAGATCCCCTGGAGCTAGAGTTAGAGGTGGTTGTTAGCCATCGTATGGGTGCTGGGACTTGAACCTGAATCCTCTGCAAGAGTATGCAGTGCTCTTCTATAAAGTTATATTTGTTATCACTGAGCCATCTCTCTAGCCCCCCTAAATTGCATTTCATACTGTCCTGTACACTGTAGTTAGTAAAGTTTTAAGTACCAACAGTTTATCTACACAGGTACATTGTATTGCTCTCAAATAAGAAAATGTTATTATCTATAAGACAAGAGGTCTGACGCAAACAGTCCATTTTTATACCCTTTGATATATTTAAACAACTACTAAATTTAAGTCTAAAAATGAAAGTATGATCACTAGTTATCTTCAACTTGTTTTCTTCTATGAACTTCGTTTTTTCATCTATAAAAGAGGAACAGTCATATCATATGTTATGAGTCAGTTAAGATGACTAAAAAAGAATTTATACACAAATAATCTCCACTTGTCGATGATTTCCTAGGCAACCCTGAAATGGAAAATTCCAGAAACAAAGCAAGGTGTAAATTTTAAATTTTATGCTATACTTCGTCATGTGAAAAAATACATCATCTGAATCTGGCATATGACAAGAATTATTCATTATTCCAACATATTCACATTGCATATTCAGTCCATTTTTAACATTTAGGAGGTATTAAGTTTCCAGCACCTATAGTGTTAAAGTTCTTGACCCTGATCTACTAAAAATTACAAAACAGAAAATTTTATTATGATATACAAGTATAATTATTTTATTTTATTAATACTTGCTTTTAATTTCTTTGGGGCTGGAGAGAAGGCTCAGAGGTTAAGACCACTGGCTGTTCTTAAAGAAATCCTGGCACCCACATGGCAGCTTAAAACTGTCCTTAACTCCAGTTCCAGGGGGTCCAACAGCCTCTTCTGACCTCTGTGGGCATTGCACAACATGGGTGCACTTACCTACATGCAGGCAATACACGCATACACATAAAATAAAAATAATAAATAAACTATTTAAAAAATGAACTTTCTCATAGATGTAACTGGATAAAAAGTTTATATTCTAGCATAGAAATTAATAATATTAATGTTTTTAGACATCACTTAGACTTTTGGAATTTATTTCTCATGGAAAAGTGAGGACTGTTGTGGGAACATACAAAAAAGAAGTTATTCATGTTAAATCACTTATTATTCAAGGCTGAATTCCTTTTGAGTAGCGTTGTAATGGCATTTTTTACCTCTGCATTCCTTACTGTGTAGATAACAGGATTTAAAAGAGGAGTAACAACAGTATAAAACACAGCTATGGCTTTATCCATGCGAAAGGTAGTCACAGGTCGCATATATGTATAAATACAAGGCACAAAGAACAAGATAACAACTGTGATGTGGGAGCCACATGTGGAGAGAGCCTTCTTCCTCCCTGCAGAGCTGTGAGTCCTCAAGGAGCACAGGATGACCACATAGGATATCAGCAGCATCGCAAAGGTGATCACCGGGATCACACCACCATTGGCAGCAACCAAGAGACCAAGAAGGAAAGTGTCAGTACACGCAAGTTGCAGTAGTGGGAAAATGTCACAACAGAAATGATCCATAATGTTGGGGCCACAGAAAGGGATCCAAAGAGTAACTAGTATCTGCCCAAAAGAGTGGAGAAAACCCACTATCCAACATATCCCCACTAGGAGGCAGCAGGTGTGATGGTTCATCCTGGTCACATAGTGCAGAGGTCTGCAGATGGCCACATAGCGGTCATAGGCCATGACGACCAAGAGGACAATCTCTGAAGCTCCCAAGAAATGTTCAATGAAAAGCTGTATCATGCAACCATAGAATGAGATGGCTTTTGTCTCTGAGAGTAAATCTGCCATCATTTTAGGTACTATAGAAGAGGAATAGCATGCGTCTATCAAAGATAAAAAAGCCAGGAAGAAGTACATTGGGGAGTTCAAGGTCTGGCTGCAGACTACAGTCCCCACAATGAGCAGGTTTCCCATGACAGTGACCACATAGGTGATGAGCAACACCAGAAGCAGAATTCTCTGCATCTGAGGGCTCTGTGTCAATCCTGTCAGGATGAATTCAGTCACGTTCATTCTGTTTCATGTGAACACTGCTGATGAACTCTAAAGTGCTGAGTTAATCTGGAAAACACCCTATTTTTTTAGTACCAAATATGATTAGAAATTAAATTTTGAGTTTCCAAGTAAGACAGAAACATTTTAATGTTATTACCTACTTTGTTTCATAGTATGCAATTAAAAAAGAAACATGCTATTTTTTCTATTTTATAAAATAATGGGAATAAATCTCAGCTTGTCATAAGGATTCTGAAACACCATTTACAGCAACTTCTGGCAAGTGATCACTAAAACACTGCTGAAAAAAATCAAATCACATAAATCCACATATTATTATTGTTATTTTATCATAAATTTTTCAGTGTCATTATATTGGGGATTTATTTCTATTTGAAGGCAAGTAGAAACAAAATATACTATTAAAGAACTTTAAAATTCTCAATTTTAATACCACTCAGAGTTACCTAAAATAAACATAGCTAGCAATCAGTTTAAAACAATTCTAAAATAAATTAAAACAATGCAGTCATAGTGTATATGTTTGTGTGCATCTGTGTTTGTTTTATGTGTATTGAAGGCTCATCTTAATGGAATATAGTTTTAATATGTATTTGTTAATCAGATTTCTTTTAATAATTCATTTATAATGTCATTTTCAAATATTTGATGGTTATGTTAAGTGACTGTCAATGAAGGAAGTGGATACATAGCAGTGAAAAATGCAAAAAAATATTTACATGTCTTAATAGAAGAGAAAATAATGAATCAAAAATAAAATGATATAACATCAGATTATAGTACCTGCTGCAAAATCAACACAGTAAAACCACCCAGCATGGAGTTGAAGAAAACAATCACTGCCAGGCATGGTGGTACACACCTTTAATCCCAGCACTTGAGAGGCAGAGGCAGGTGGATCTCTGTGAGTTCCAGGCCAGCCTGATCTACTTAGTGACTTCCAGGGCAGCTGGGGTTACAGGGAGACCCTGTCACAAAAAGACTTAAAAAAAAAAAAGAATGAACAATTACTTTCAGTAAGTAATTTAGAGAAGTCTGCACTAAGAGGGAATGCATAACAAACCTGCAAAGGAGTGAGGAAGGAGTTACTACGGTATCTAGACTAAAGCTCCAGATAGAAATATAAGCGTGAAAAGATGTGTGGAAGGAGAAGAAGTGTTATCAGTGACCTGAAAGAGCATGGGTCTAGAAGAGTAAGCAAGGATGGATTCGTAACAGATCTTGCTTTGTAGAATGTCACAAAGCTGTGAATTTACATTAGAAGACAAGTTAAGCCACCGGAAGATTTCACACAGCAGGACAACACTATCTGACTGTTTGCCTATGGATACTTCTGGCTACTCTGTGAGGATTAGGCTCTGGAGGAGTGAGAGGAGAAGCAGAAGGTGGGAACATTTAGGTGACAATCCAGCTAAAGGGTGCACAAGTAGCATTGGGCAGAATTTGTTTAACATGGGATATAGAGGAGGAATATAGTAAAATTACTCCAATGATTTTAGTCAAATGACCCAAGGAAACTTCTGCCCCTGGACAGAGTCTTGTGTGTAGAAACCTCAGCTAGTACACTCAAAAATTGCTTGAGGGCTTATGAAGTATTAGACTCATTAATCTTTATGCCAGTATTGGAGTTATGAATGGTTGCTAGCCATCATGTGAGTGCTGAGAGTCTAACCTAGGTCCTATGGAAGAGCAGCCACTGAGCCATTTCTCCAGTCCCTCTTATGCTATAATTGTCTTTGCTTAATAAATGAAATAAATGATGCAGTGAATGTAAGGAAGCTATTAAATGTTACTTAGCAGTCTGCAATCCCAGTCTTATACCGAAATATAAGTATCCTATAAGGGGTACTTGCCCTCTGAAACTATTAAATAGATTCTTTAAATTGAAGATAATTTACTTACTAACTGTGAAAATGAACGGGAGACAAGCTCATTATTTGGCACAAATTAGGTATAGCCCACTGTCAATATCAGTTACTTAATATCTATAAAAATTTTAGAATATGATATCAACACTTATGAAAATGAATGACAGCCTTTTCCACACACAGTTACATTTCTAACATGAATGTCAAATATACTTTTTGACAGAAAGACCTGTATTTACTTACACTTTTGTTACTCTATGTTACTCTGTAAGTTCACATTTTTTATTTACTTCACTGCAAAGCAACTTCTACCAAATACACAAAAAACATTTTTACTTTTAACTTTTTTCCCTCTTCTTCAATTCCTCCAGATACTATGTGTGTGTATGTGTTGTTGTTGTTGTTGTTATTGTTATTGTTTCACTAGAAATAAGTGGGCAGTACATGGAGGGAATTGTAGGGAATCCCTTATAAGTATTCAGTCTTGAAGGATTTACTTGATGTCCCATCCCTTTGAAATACAAATGACTTACTTCTTGTGAGAAGAGCTATAGAATTTAGGAGCAATGAGGTTCCACTTATAACTGTGTTACCAGGTAAGATTATCTTGACTCTTGACAAGAAGGAAACACATGGATTTAGCTCCTTTCAGGCATAATTCTGGATGCTTCAGCTTTCACCCATCAGCAGGATGTGCTCACTACCCTCACACGCTGGAACACATACAGAGCAGCCAAGAGCACTTTTCCAAGCAGAGTCCTACCAGAAAGAAACAAATTCTATGTATGTATGTCAAGGAGTGACAGCCCTTTTAAACACTCAATTAGTATAAAAAAAAACATGTCATTCAGAATACTTTACCAAAAGCCATCCTTTTCTGCATTCAGGAATTAAAAACTACTTGGAAAATCTTTAAATGGATAGAAATATGCTTACTACTATATCCTAAAGCCATATATTCCAGTGAGAAATTGTAATTAAATAAAATTTTGCATAGGAAAAATTTAGGAAATAAATACAGCTAGACAGTATTGTTAGTTGCCACCTACATTTAATATTATCTTTAACAATATATACTATTCTCATTTTAGAATGGCGTTTTTAAAAGAAATTTTCATTATTCCTTTCTCATCTCTTTTTTTTTCATTTTAGAAATTTAAGTTCTATAATGCTTAAGAACTAAGGAAATTTAAGCTACTTCCATCATATACAATGCCAATAATTTGTTATATTGTAACATTCTAATTGAAAGTTACTCATTATTATTACATTTAAGTACTGTTACTATTTTGCAGATAGGGAATTCAGGGATGATGAAGAGATTCTAAACCTTGTACTCTGGGACAGTTACTGAAGATAAAATCTAAAGATAAAAAATTGATGTGGCTGTCGGGAAGCCACAGGATCTATATTTGAGTGTGGGCATTCTAGCACAGTCATAGTGGGAGGGGGGCACTTTTCTATAAATAAACCCCCACCCTTTGCTCTATTAGCAAGCCCAATAAACTCATTAGGACTTTAGAAAAAAAGTTACAAAATTGATCTGGACTTGGTGCCACTAAACCTCAGAAGTAATAACTTACCTAAATAGCTTTAACCTTCATTAACACCCTTTCAAGTAAGCCCTTAAGAAGAATGATTCTCATTGTAATTCATGGAGAAAACAAAAATATGATTTCAGAAGCACTTGGGAATTTGAAATATGTCAATTTCTCAAATTCCTCTGAGAATGTCTCACCTGTACTCTCAAGGGAATTAAGGATTACCAACATATTTATTTTGTTAAACCAGTTAATAATACAGAATTAACCCTGATCCTACTTCTCATCTACACTAAATACACTATTAAAAGAAAAGTACGTTAATTGATCATATTTTATTTTTAAGTCACTTTCATATTAACTACATAATAACACTTTGATGGTTAAGTATAATTTACTTGCCCAAGATAATGGAACTAACAAATTATAGAATAGTGATCCAATTTCTTTTCTTTCTTTTATGCTACGTTATCTAATTTAAGTTAAGACCTCTAGAAAATGAAAAAATCTCTGGACATTAATGAGCCACATTTCCTCTCTTTAGGTTATTTTTGTTTTGGTTTGTTTTTCAGTTGTTGAGATGGAGTCTTCCTATAATGCCATGACTAGATTCAAACTCATAATCTACCTTTTCTTCCTCCCGAGTAACTGGGACTTTAGGCTCTGTCCATCACACTTACCTCCTGTTTTACATTACTCCCAATAATAATCTGAGATTTCATATTTCATTGAAATGTTATCCAAGAATTCAAGTGCAAGGCAGTCAACTTGGTATTTAAATAAAATAAGAAATAACGGAATATGGAACTGTAGCTATTGAAGATTGAATGAGGTTTGTAAAATTATCTAAATCATCCTTTTCATTTGCAAAAACAAGAAATTTAGACCAAAATAAGAAAGAATATTCCCCAAATTAAGTGCTAAGATGGCAGTAAATTAGAAGCCTAGATTTTCTTTGACCTCCAAGGTTGGTGGTCCCTAGCATCAAGATTTCATATCCTATTGCTATCTAATTCCTGAAAATCCAAGCATATGAAGGCCAGAAATTAAACTATTTATAACTATTGCTAAAATATAAATATTACTGATTGACTATTGACTGAGTTTCTGAGCAGTATCTAATTCATTCTTTTATTTGATATAAAAAGAAACTGAGACCTGAAAAAGAAAATACATAATATTCCATAAACTACATACTAAAATGTTAATAGATTAAGATCCTAACCCTTCTGCCTTGTTTACCACGACTGGTGTGCTATAGTACCCAGTACATGACCTCAGTTCTGAGGATTGAAGAACCATATGGCCTATGGCCTTGGTGATTCTGTCGTCACAGTAGCACAAGCCAGCAATCAATGTGATCCCCACAGCCAACTTTCCTTGGGAACACAGAGTTAAAAATCTTCCACCAAACAGTGTCAAATTAAAACCAACAGTATTTCAAAGATTTTCTGCACTGTAATAAAATGGAATTTGTCTCAGGGATGGATGCAAGGATGGTTTAATATATAAAAATCAAATGTGATCCATCACATTAGTAGAATGAAAGATACAACCATATAATCATGTTAAGAAAGCATTCAATAAA